ATATGGCATTTTGGCCATAACAAAATGAGAGAAAATAAAATGGCATTAAGCCATTACATGAATATGACAAAAAGGTTCTTGTAAAAGTCTCTTCCTCTTTCAAACAAAGCATGGCATCCAGCCATCGTGAAATATAAGAAAAGTGTATTCAACCAATGTATGATATAAGTCTCATTCATATGTGAGACTTTGTGATAATTCATATAGAAAATAAGAGTGGAAAGAAAGATTGGCAAAGTAAAAGAATAAGACATTCCTTACGAACTCTCTAAGGAATCTCATGTTTCGATATTTAAGGACATACGTTAGGGATAACGGATAATTTTCGAATCCATGATCTTATTTCCAACCAGTAAATCAAGCTAGCATCACTTTCGTAACATTTTGCAAAAATGCTTCTGCTATACTTCCACAAATTAAGTCTTCCTCATCATTTTTAATATATGATCTTGTTTTTTATACAATTATATTATCCTTTAACAACAAAAAAATGAAAACATTCAATAGAAAGAAGCACAAATAAAAATTAAAAGAAGCAGGTAATAAAGTATATAGTACCGTACGGTATACGACATCAGGTATAGTATAAATTATGGTAAAAAAAAAATTGTTAGGAAAAAATGATTTCAAAACAATCACAAAAAAAAAGAAAGCATGGAAATCATACCAACCCTGACATCCTTTTAAATCATAAAATACATAAAGGACAACAAAATCCAATGACCATAAATAAAAAATCCACTAAATTACCTAATATCCCACAAAGGACAAAAGAGTGACAAACAATAGAATCGTGGGAAACAAAAGCCACAAATATCAATGACAACAAAGTCATGAAAAAATGAAGAAATAAGTAATAACCCAACAAACTAAAGAGAAAATAAAAATCACAAATAACAAATAACCCAAAAATTTTGAGAAAAATGGAATGAATCAAGGGAGACATTCGAGAAAAAAACCCAATAAAAAAAAATCTTCATTCAAAATAACATAGCGAGAAACAAATTCTCAAAGCATCAAAATCAAACAATAATCACATCAGAAAATGATAAATTCAAAAGAGAACGAAAAATAAAACAAAGGTAAACCAAGGAAAGAGAAAGTAAAGGAAAAAACTAAAAAAAGAAAAACATAACAAAAGTTTTAACACGCGATGATCAAAAGAAATGTGACATTATAATTCTAGCCACTATGTTTATGATTCAAAAAACATTGTATTTATTCTTTGAACATCACATTCTAACATAGGGTATAGAGACAAAACAATTCCTATTTCTAACATTTTTATTTATTATCAATCACATTTCGAAACAAAAAAATGTGGTCTTGAATAATCATCGAAGATGTATTTGAATTAATAAACGCGATGTTTGTAATCAAACGCTACAATTTTAAGTATCATAAATAATTTTTTTCAATTAAATCAATTATGTTACCCATATTATAAACATGTTTGATGTGAAAAAAATCTATAATGGGAGAATACGCCATAGCAAATCAAACTCAGCAGAGTATGATTCAAATGATCCACTATGTTAACAAAGCAAAAATGTTATTTTTTTAATAAAAAAATTAAATAAACATAGAATTACAATCATCCACCACATTTGTCCCTAAATCACTATTCAAAAAGATATGGAGACAACTTTATCAATATAGATTTACCACTTAAACTTTCCACCAACCCCTCTTTTATTTTCATTTTAGTTAAATCAAGGAATAACTATCTTTCTATTTTTCACAAATATTTTAAAAAAAATCAAAAAGAAAAAAAGAAAAGAGATCCATGAAATAGGCACATGGCACTTAACAAAATTAAAAAATAATAATAATAAAAAGCAAAAAAGAAAGGAGAACTGTGAAACAATCACATGGCACTCCTTATGTAGAGTCTCATGTTTCGGATAATAGCAAAATTTATATTATTCCAACTACCATGTTTATTATTAAAACAACATGGTATTTATTTCTCCAAACACCACGTTTATAACATAGGGAATAGAGTAAAAGTAATTCTTTTATCTAACTTTTTATTCATTGTCAACCACATTTGAAAACAAAAAGAAATGGTCTTAGACAAATCATCAAAGACGTTTTCAAATTAATAAATGTGAAGTTTGTACCCTAAACTCTACACTTTTAAATATCATAAATATTTTTTTAAATTACACCAATCATTACGTTACCCATATTATAACATGGTTGATATAAACTACAACGTGACAAAATCAAACTCAACATAGTATGGATCAAATGATCCACTACATTTCAAAGTAAAAAACATAGTGTTTTTCCTTAAAAGAATTTAAAAAATACTAAATTACAATCATCCACCATGTTTGTTCCCAAATCAGTGTTCAAAAGGCTACAGGTACAACTTTATCAATACAAAATTTATCTTATAAATAGATTTATCACCTAAACCTTCCACCAACCCCTCTATTTTTTTGACTTCAATTAAATCAAGGAACAACTACCTATCTTTTCTCATATATTTTTATAAAATGAAAAAAAAACTCAAAAAGCAAAAATTAAGTAGAATTAAGAAACAACCACATGAAACCCCCCAATGAAGAGTAGAAAATAAAAAAATTACCTAAAAAGCAAAAAAATTAAAAAAACCAAGAAATAGCTACATGTTACCCCAATGAAAAGTCCTACGCTTTATACAGTAGCAAATTTTATCTTATGGATTGCAAGATTCTAGGGCCTAAAAGTTATCATAATATATAGATCCATAAATTTATAACTAAAAACAATAAGAGGAGTCGCCACAAATCTTTTATTAAGGTGCAATTGACCACCTAATGAATCTATCATTTTAAGGAGCTCTTAAGCTTAACTAAGGTTCCCTAAAGAATATGTTCTGATCTACTAATTAGAACATGGTACGAAAGTTCGATTACATATAGAGAAGGTTATAGCACCCCCACATACCCATCCAAAAGATGGTACCATTTATTTTAAATTATCATAAGCTCTTGATTCTAATGGTCTTAAATTTTAATATTGAAAATAATCCTTAATATTTCATCAATCTGGTAAAATTCTTAAAAATAATTCCTCACTTCAAGAGTATTCAAGAATCTCATTTGTTTTCTTGAAGAGGCTCTATCGTCGAAAAAAAGTTTAATCATTTTTATTTTTTATTAAAAATATATTTAATTATTCCACTATTTGGATCAAATTAGAAATATCTTTCATTTAGAAATTTCTTAAATAATCATCCATTTGTGTTTACTAAGAATTTCATCTTTAGAGTTTATTTTTATTTTTTAAAAGTTTTATTTCTAAATTTCCACAATTTGGGTCAATTTATAATTTTTCTTTTTGATTTTTAAATTTTTCATCATTTGGTTCTATTTAAACATTTTTTTTTATCTTTGGAAAAAAATAATATGACAATTATTTTTGAAGTTTAATTTAAATTCTTTCATCATTTGAGACGAATTTAAAGAAATTTCTCACTTAGAGATTTTTTAAAAATTTACCATTTGAAATTTTTAAGAATCTCATCATTGGGTAATTAGTATTTAGTTTCAAAATTTTTATTAAAATTTATTTTTTTTTATTTTTAAAAATTAAAAATAACTATTAATTATTATTATTGAAACTTTATCTATATTATTTCACCATTTGGGATAAATTTAAAAAAATTTCTCATATAGAAATTTTATAAAAATTTACTATTTAAAATCTCTAAAAATTTACAAAATTTTTATTTTGTAAAAAAAAATAGTTTTTAATTCTTCCTAAAATTTAATCATGTAAAAATACTTTAAAAATAAATAAATAAATAAAATATCAAAAAAACAAAAATAGCTTGGCTTTGGTGGCTAAAAGGCTCGGCTAAAAACACAGATGACGGCTTCAAGGATGTGGCTCAATGGCTCAGCTTGATTGCAAAGATCAGCTGGTACGTGGATCAAAGAAGCAGGTCACCTGCTAGAAAATTCTGAAGTTTTTTAAGGCAAAAATGATGTCATTTCTTAAAGGTATAAAAGCCTAAATTTCATTTTTTCTTCAAATCTCTTCTACCCGTTCTCTTTCTTCTCCACTTTTCTCTCCCTTTCTGTCCATAAAGTCAATGAATGCCAATGCTGTATTCTAGGATTCCTCGTCGAAATTTTGGAATCTCATCTAAAACTTAATCAGAAACTAGAAATCTTGCTTAAAACTTCAAATTTCACCGAAATCTTTACTGGAATATGAAAAAAGTCGCTGGAATTTGAGAATTTTTCATATTTTTTTCAAAAAAAAAATCTTCAAAATTTTTCTTTCTGATTTTTGCGTGTATCTCTCTTTTGCTAGTTGATCTTTCTACTTGCGGCTGTATTATTTGTTTCTCTATCTCTCTGTGTGCTTTATTGTTTGGTGTAGGACTGTATTTATAGGCTTAAATCCAAAGAACCTTATATCCAAAAGAAATTCCAATTCCTTTTAAATTCTCCCTTCAAATTTTAATTCAACTCAAACTTTGCCGAACCACCTCAAGCTCTTCAATCCAAGTTTTACACAAACTCAACCACTGATTTTTTTTCTTTTTCAATTTTTATATTTTCATTAACAAAAACAATTAAAACCTCTTGAGGTGTCTACAAAAGTTTAAGTTTAATAATTAATTAGAACATTTCTTTAAGCAATTCAGATGAGAGATTGGAGAATACAGAATCTATAAATAAAATAAAGTAAAAAAAAGTTAAGGAATGAGTTAAAAAAAAAAAGTTATTCAATGATTCTTTGCAAGTAACTGATAAAATAGTTTAATTATCAAGAAAGTGGAATGTTCCATGTTAAAACAAATAAAAACCAAGAATAAGTGATTTTTTTAGCATTTTGTATTCTTCACATGGCCAAGTTACAAGAAGAATTTGATTCTTCCCTTGGCCGCTTTAATCAACCCATAGACGTGTAGCTGTCGGGATGTGAAATAAAAGTATTCCAATGAACTTAAACAAAAATTTGAGATACCAGTACAATTCTCTGGAACAGGGTTAGCTGTTTTGGTTCCTATATTCTGATTTTTGCACTAGATTTTTTTGTTATAGCATCTTATGAATTTAAGCCAAAGAAAAAAGTATGGAAGTGAAATATTTGGATAAGAACATAGGCAAACCGCATTGATTCATGGTTTTTACTTCACCAAATTAAAGCCTCAGAGTACAATCAGAAGATGATAGCTAAGCTACAAATTACTTAGATGCAGAGCAGTTTTGAGATGGAGGGAGAGAGAGGGGGGGAGGGGGTGGTCACATAGTACTTGTTTATCGCTTTGGGAAGAACAACTCTGCCAGAAATTTATAAGCATTTGAAAGAAAATATATATTTTTTATGTTCCTTGAGTGCTGAAAGGTTTCTTTGAAGCTGGAATATTAACAATTTTGGCAGGTTCATCAATGCCATCATCAACACTGATTGATCTAGCATTATTTGTGATTGGCAATTCCTGCAGGGCATTGCTTTTCTCATCAGTTTCTGAGTTTTTCCCTTCTTTGCTTTTGCCCCATACCACAGTGTAAAGGCCTGAGACTATGATAATGGCTCCAAGTATGCTGAAATCAACCAAAGAAAAGAAATTAAAAAAAAAGAAAGGAGAAACAAATGAGAAGTCAGAACAAGGAATGCCAATGCAGAATCCACTAATTGAATAAGACTTCTCAGTTGTTTAATGGTTAATAAAGCAAAGAAAACTACTTGACAGTGTACATATTCTGTCTCTATCTGCAAAAGTAATTATCTCTAATAATATTTGATAGTGCACCATATATTCATGTCTCAGTAAACATTGTTATCATCCCAGGATTAATAGGATATGCTTTTGGTGTCGATATTAGTTGAAGATCAAAGCGCAAATACCTTCCAAGGTGGACTTTTTCTGCTAAAACAATGGCCCCTAGTGCAGCAGTGATGATCATGCATAGAGGGCTGAAAGATGTTACAAAGACTGGCCCTCGTTCCCTGATCACGACTCCTTGCGCATAATATGCGATTCCGGAGCACACTATTCCCTAATCAATCACAAATTATATTAGAGGGTTAAGCACTTGTGATTCATGTGTCTGCTTATTTTGTTTTACTAAGACTTTTCAAGTGCATCATGGCTGGCAATTACAATAAATAAATAGTTGGTATCTCTTTTTGTTTCTGTATTCATTGTATTTGGTTTTATTGGGGCACTTACTGAGTAAGTTGCAGCAAGAAGCCTTGAGTCCCAGCCAACTTTCCAGGCACTTAGGCCACGGACCATGACAAGGGACACTCCTGCATCTTCCACCATTCCCATGAAGCATATCCAAGCTGTAAGAGAGAGCTCTGCCGGGTACTTCTTCAATGTGAAGGACTGAACCAGAAACCATAACCCAATATTAGCTCATATATAATTATGTGGTTTAATCAACTTTGTTTATTCAACAGACTAGAAATATTTCGACTCACTTGCAAAATAAAGAAGCTTGACCAGCCAAAGATACTTCCAAGAAGCATTATGGTGCCTGTAACCCAGTGTTTATCTGCAGATTCACTGGTAGTCCCATGGTGTGTAGCTCCTCCTGACTTGATGAAGTCAATAATGGGACCTTTGTACAAAGTCATGACCATTGCTCCCACGACCGTGATTGCAGTTCCAATGGTCTTTGCTAGACTGTGTATCTTCTTTACATTGATCTTCTCTAACCTGATTGACATAAGTAATTATCGTATTAAACAATGACAAATTCCTCCAATCCTATTGATGATATTAAAAAAAAAAAATTTAAATCCCAAGATCCTTTGACCTGTAATTAGAGCAGTACCAAGTTTATTAGTAATTCAATTCTCACCTAAAGTTCTTGTGGATATAAATATATATTTATATATATATATATATATATATCAATTTGAAGCCAGTCTTTTTTAATTAATAAAAAAATAAATGGAAAAAGAATGAATATGATGGAACTTTTAAGCAGTTCGATGTGGTGGGCACTGACATATTTTCAATCAAGGGTCCCAGAGGCTTGAGCCTCCCACTGGTTGTAGAATCTTAATGACACATCTTTTTCACTAGTGTGATTTTGCGCGACAATATTAATAAATGATGAATTGGTTTGAATCTTTTCACCTGAAAATCATTGCCAATATGAAGGTAACAGCAGGAAGCATGTTGACGAAAGCAGATCCATATGTTGCTGTTGTGTACTTCATTCCCAGATAGTATAAGTTCTGGTCAAGCACTGGCCTGTAGATCCAAAAAACAACATCAATTAGGCCTTTACGCTCTTGGTTAGTAGTTGACATTGTATTTATAAATATATCAAGAACAAGAAACACACATGGACTTGGGGATATATTATATATGCTGCTAAAAAGAAGAAAACTTGATTTGTCATTTAAATTGCTACCATAATCTGTGGATGGATATGTAAACTATTTTTTTGAATTGAAGATTCACTAAGTTTCATGAGCAAGAACTGAAAATGGTTAATGTGAAAAAAAAAAAAAAGAAACAGAGAATCCAATTCTTGCATTGCAGCCACAAGTTGGAGACCATTTTAACTGCATTTATAATATATATATATATATATATATATGCATGTATTTAAATATGTAGAAGCACGTTGGAAACATATGAAGATGCATTTATCTGCAAAAAGATGCAAAAAAGAAGGGAGTTTAGAGCATTACTCCAGGAAACTAAGAATCACAATCCTGAGGAAGATAGGGAGGGTCATCTTAGGCCTTATTTTCCTGCATGTAAAAGAATGGAAAGCAGAAATAAGGTTGGGGGGGTTCAAGAAATATGAATGTTTTTGTGAGAGAGGGAGAGGGAGAGGGAGAGGGAGAAGAAGAGAAACCTTTCAAGAACAAAAGCAAAGGGTGCAATGACAATGGTTGCGACAACATGACGGTATGTAGCAAGGATGAAATTACTCATGCCATGCTTCATAGAAACCATGGAGATTATGTACATCCCTGCATATCCAAACTGTAGGGAGACCATTGCCAGGTATGGTTTCGCTTTCTTCAACACATTAGACAAAGCTGCACATGGCGTTTGGTCTCCCATATTTCTGTCTCTCTTTTCTCTCTAGTACTTGCTCTTTGGCTGCCAACTTCTGAATGAGAAATGGCCTTCTTATAGACAAGAAAGTGCATTATTTTCCAATAAATTTAAGAGTTGCACGAGTCTAAGACACTAACTCTCACTCTAATTTAGATTCCCTTATCCATTAAACCAAAAAAAAAAAAAAAAAGGGCCCCCTGGTAGAATCCTCTCACTTGATAGAATCAGAGGAAAACCAAAAAATAAAAGAAATAAAGAAGTGTGTTTCTGTAGATCTCTGTGCATGTGGTGCTTTGCCTTTATTTGTTTCTGTCATTTTTTTAATTGTTTTTGTGGGAAGTGGGGATTTGATTCATTGACACCAAATGATGGTTAGGTAAGTGCGGATGATGCATGCAAAACTTATAGTGTTGGGTGCTATGAGTCGTGGCCACCATTTCTAAAATCATTGTTTACTTAAAAACTTTCTGATGTATTCACGGAATTCACTATGATTTACTCTCCATATTTTGACTTTGGAAATTGTTTTTTGATAGAGTTTTTAAACTTCACAATCCAGGTTAAAAACACAATACACTAAAATAAAATATGTTACAATCATTTAACTCACCAATGAAGTTAAAAAATCTATACCGGCTGATGAGTATGAAATAATTTTGCTTTAACCTTCAATCGCAACCCAAAGTAAAAGCAATCTAATTAGTGTAAATGACGTTGACAGAAACGAAATTTTCTGATGATAAAGAATTTATATTGTTTTAGTGCTATATTTCGGGAGAAATTTCACTTGAGCATTTCTGAAACGTGCATGTTGAAGCTTGAAACCTGAAATTCTTTCTAACATTAGAATAATAGAGTTTAAGATGCTAATTGGATTTAATTGCTTGCAGATTAATAATCATTTTAGATTAGGCATCTCTGACTTTAATTAAATGGGTGAAGCGGAAACCACTTTGCTTATATACCTTCCCAAAAGATAATTCCGAATGTTCGCATTGAAAAAGATTTATTCTTATTCCCTCTGCTGCCTGCCTCTTCATTTCATTTCACTGTCAATAAATTCATTGCTTTTTATGTAGCTGAAATGTGGAGCAAACACTTATTGCATCATTCACAAATTGCCCAAAATTTTATTATGTCTTATGTCAATTCCAATGATAGAAAAGAAGAAGAAATTCTCCTTTACTCAAAATTCCTTCTGGTTTTTTCAACCAAATGAGAAAGCCAAAAGAATTTGATACTAACTAGATCAAGATAATTAACCAGTAATATTAGTTCAATGATTAATATACAATAAAGTCGAAGTGCATAGATAGTTTGAAACCCTGTGAGATCTAGTCCTCATATCACTAACTCTATCTTATGGACAAAAAAAATTGCTAAATATGAGTGGCGTCACTGAATTAGACATATTAACTGCTACAAATAAATAGATGCAATAATGAAGTTATATATCAAAATTGCTCAAATTTTGCTGTATTATTAAGGGTAGTGAATATAAATTTCCCAAGGAGAAAAGTGTGATATCCTAGCCTACTACTTCTACATATTTGGCTGAAACTCTATGGTTTACAAAAAAAAAAATTGGTTTTGAGGTTATAATTTCAACCAACCGTCTTTGAATTGTTAATTAAAATTTTATGGATGACTTGAAAATGTGTAGACTGTCCTTGCAAGTCCTTCGCAGACTTTGAACATTTACGGCTGTCTTGAAAACATGATGGCTGCCTTAGAAATTCTTTTAGCTGGCCTTGAAATCACCTTCCAAAACTTCAACACAGGGAGACTGGCATTTAAAAATATAGGTAGATTTTGAACATGTAAAGGCTGCCATTAGACAAAATTAAACACATGGTGGCTACAACCCTTGAAGTATTCTGGCAGATTTTGGAAAAAAAACAATTGGCTGGCCTTGAACCTTCGACCTTTAGGAGGGTTATAAATAGCCAAGTTAATAGTCCATTTTATATGTTAAGAAAAAAAAAAACAAAAAGAGAAAATTCATTAACAATTCTAATGAGAGGTTGAAAATCTTACAGTTCAGGGTTAGAAAATAGTTGGAATATCTTTTCAAGGTAAGTGAAATTTTTTCTCCATTAAAAAGAGCATGATTGAAGGGTTTAGACTGGTGGTTAGACCTGGGATCTATAGCATTAACTGATTGTTATTGTGGATTGTGAACATCGTGTTAATCACGTTATTATTGTAGAGTTTGAACATTTGTGATTTTTCACGATTGTTATTGTGAATTATGATATAGAACGAAAAATTAATGTTTATTGTAAAATATTTATTGTGTACGGAAATTTTGATTTATTGATAAAATATCCTGAATTGAAAATTATGATTTGAAAGTATTGTTTTTGTACTACTTAATCCAGCCAGTTAAATCTTGTTACTTACTGATTTGTTAAGTTCATCACTGTTTTAAAATATTTTTATAGATACCAAGAAATGAGTGTTGGAGATTGGATTTGGAAAGAATACATTACATTTTGATGTTTAAAATTATTATTATGGTTATTATGAAAGATAATATGGAAATTTTGTAATAAAATTCTCATAAATTTCAGTTTTGATTTTAATGGAATATTGAGGTATTATTTTGAAATAAAATATTTATTGAAAATTGATTTAACCTTGCATGTTAACGAGGTTTACCTAATGGTAGCTGACGTTGCCATGACCAAGTGCCATGGGTTTGAAGCGAAAGAGTTACAATATTAATCCAAATATCCAAAAATAATTTTTAATGATGAGTATAAAAACCATGGGGAGACAATGCAAAGTTGGTGCTTTCACGTTTGGATTCCAACATGAAAAAATGAGGTTGCTTGGTGGAATCACACGTGACAAATGGGAACATTCGGAAGAAATGTCAAACATGTCTAGGAGGATTGGAAAGAGATTGGTTGTATACCGTATTTTCATGGAGAGTTGTGGTCAATAATCACCTCTACAAAAGGGAAAAAAATGGGAAATAAAAATGAAATTAAACTTTCCTTTGCTTGCTTACGCATCATAAAAATGACTAGCCATGCAATGAACAATTCCCAAGTTTTATTTTTTCCCCTTTGTATTGTCCCCTTTCTACACATTTTTTTTTTTTATAGAAATCAATCCTGATGCCACTTCAAATACGGGGCCAGCCTTTCAACATTAAACCCTTTTCCTCAAATGTGTCAATTCTTTTTTATCAAGCAAAAGCCAATGGAGTTCCTTTTGCTAATCCTGGATTATCATGATCAATCACAGAATTGACTAGCCATGCAATTAATTAGCTGATCTTTCCAGGTTTTGTTTTCTTTTCCTGATAATGTTCCAATAAGTTCAATTTCGTTGTAATTGTTAAGAGATATATGTTATTTTGGTTTTGTCAGTAGACTTTCAGGTTCCAATCCGAGGCCACTAGACCATAGTGAGGACTCTAGCCTTTTTATTTGGCAGGGCAGAAGTTCATTGCCATGTGCCTTACGTCTTTGATATTCTCATGCATAAAAATTTTTCAAGATTTGATTCTTTTTGGGTTTTCTCTTCAAGGCTTTAATTATTCGTATTGATCCTATACCATGTTCAAGAACAGAAAACGGTCTGAAATGCATAGCATATTTATTCACCTACATCAAATCAGGGTAGACTCGACTTATCACCATGTCAAAATTTGTTCCAAAAGATTATTCCCTGGCCTTGCCGAACCAGAATGGCAGAACCGAATTTCGACCCATATCCTATACCTATTTTAAACTGGCCAACCAATATATTTCACGTAGAAGATCGTGCTACTCAATCCATTATGACTCAATAAGAAGATCAAAAACTTGTAGATTTATTCGACCTTTCGTCATAGCTAGGTGCTCTTAGATATGAATTTGGACAGCGCTTTTGATTTTCTTTTCGAAATATATTTTACGGCTAAACCTTGTCCATTAAGTGCAATTCATGATGAAAAAGGGGCCCTAGTGACAATGAAAGCAGTTTCTTTGAGATTCAGATGTAAAACGCATATATTCATATAGTAGGTAGGCAAGCAGATAAAAAGTTCCATTTGCATTTAAACTAAATGAAGTTAAAGTTAATGCAAATGCATCTCGTAGGTGTCTGGATCATCAATAGAATAATTTGTCTGGTTTAGATTCACAGTACATGCAGGAAGACGGTTCATAAAAATTTACAGAATGGAGCTCAATTCCACATACAAAAGTTTTGACATGAACCAACCACGAGTATTTCTCAAAACATTGACATGACAAAAAGAAAAATATGTTGACAAATTTGGAAGGCAATTCCAATTTTATTACAAGTCATTTGAAATTCACAGGCAATGCAGTGCATCAGAAGTTTGAAGAAATGGAAGCTAATAATCTACCTTTACAAACACAATATAAATACTTCTTGACTAAAAGTAATATTAATATATTATAAACCAGAAAGCCCCATATCCTCAATTATTTATAGTGCACAATCTCACTGCCACATTCTGATTGTGGTAAACAAAAGGAAAATTTGTCTTGGATAGCCATAAGTATCGCGGCAAAAGTTATTTGTCTGCAATTCCACCTCTCTTTATATATATAGTACTTTCTTTATTAGTCTATAAACAATAATGACATTAATCAAGCCAATATATTTTGTGCTCACATGTACCATGCCTTGATGTAATTTCCATAGTATTTTCACTAACAAGTTGCAGAGAAGAGACTAATGGAAAGGCTTTTATGTACAGAGATTTATTACTCTTTGAAACAGGTGAGGTTTTCCTGATACTTTTCTAAGGTCATGCTTTTAGGAATATCTTTTACTTTCCACCCTGCTGAGCAATGTTAATTGTGGCAATGCCAAGCTTAGTGCCATCAGAACAATTCTTTTCTGAAATTGGTAGCTCTTGGATATAATCAACCTTTGCGGGGGTAGATGCTGATGGACAATCCTTGCTTTTCCCCCACACCACAGAATAGAGGCCGATTGCGATAATAACTCCTCCTATGATACTACATGCAACATGAAAGAAGAAAACATAAGCTAATAAAAGGATAGGAATTGAGAAGAACAAATACCTAAAGTTGTACCTTTTTCTCCTTTTCTTTCTTTATTATGGCACTTGCTCAAAGTTTTATTTACAGTGCGTAATTGATGGCTTTGCCATGGTTGTCTTTATAAATTTATTCATAAAAAAGGAAAAAACCCAAAGCAATGTGTAAGATGAGAACTCCTAGAAATGTTTGTTTTTCTTATGCTCCATTCGCTAATCTATAGGACAAAGAAGAAAGAAGCTCACCAAATTTTCCTTCTTAATTTAGATAGTGCATGATTATTTGAAAGCACCTTTAGTAATTGGGGATTGGGTATGCTAATGGACCAGGCTTGCCTTATAATATACTTCATCTTATTTCTTTTAATTGGAGCATTTTTGATTCAAGGTTGATCACAAGTCATAAAGGAAACTATGCCACCATAAATAGTCTTACCAGTAAAAAGTGATTGCTGAAGTTGCTTTTGGACTAATGATTTTCATTATTTTTTTAAACTTTGATTTTTTAGTGTCCTGAAAGGAGTTGTACATAAAAATGAAATGATTTTGTATATGATGCTGGAAAGATGGTCAATATACCTTCCAAGGTGAATTTGCTCGCCTAGGATGGCAGAACCAAGAGCAGCAACGATTATCATGCAGAGAGGATTGAAGGCAGTGACAAATACAGGGCCTCTTGTTTTCATGACCAGACCTTGCACATAGTATGTAATTCCAGAGCTAACTACACCCTCATTAAACCAGGTTGGTTAGGTAAGCCGGTCATTGATTAAGCAGATCTTATTATATAATACTGGCCAAACCAATGAACACTTGAAACTAAAAGTATTTATAGTTTTAGGAACATACCAAACAATTCAACTTCAAAGTAATATTTATAGTCTGATTCACATCCTGATAGCACAGAATTATAGACCTGAAAAACATGGCCTAATCTGCTTTTCTGTTTTGATGATAATTTTCCTAGATATAGGACTTTACCAAGGGAATATTAGGTACTTACTGAGTACAATGGAGCCAAAAGCCTAGAGTTCCAGCCAACTGCCCATCCACTAGGGCGATGCTCTACAGCTAGGGCAATTCCCAAACTCTGGATTGCACCGGCCAAGCATATCAAGGAGGAAAGAGAGATTTCTGCCGGGTATTTTTTTATGGTAATTGACTGTGCCATTTGAAAAAGAAAGGTTGATTAATTACCTGAAGTTTAAGATGTTTTTAGATTGTGCATTTCCAAGCATGATGTTTTTATAATGGATCTGTTATTTGACTATAAAAAACTACAGTTCCACCCATTAGTGGATGGTTGATGGCATGTAAGACCGAACTTACTTGCAGTACATAGAAACAGGACCAGGCAACACAACCTACAAGGATTAATAGTGTCCCAGATATCCAGTGCTTATCAGATGAGACGCCACTGCTTCCATGGTGGCTTGTTTACTTACCCATTTAGATCAATGACAGGGGCCTTTGTAAAGTGTCATAAAGTAAAGCTCCTGTGAAAGGGTTTACCAGGGTCCCCAATGACCTCGCTTGACTGCGTTCCTTCCTTAATCCTTACATGCCCTAATCTGATCAGACAATTTTACTGTTTAGCAGTAATACTTTAGAGCACCAAGTATCTAAAAAGAACTATGGAAGAAAAGAAAAAAACTTAGCCGTTTATTAAGCAATATGAGCAGCTAAGAAGTTGTTGAAGTAGTTTAGAATGTAAGGCAATCTTATTATTGGATAAAAAGATTTAATTATTGATTTTTTATTAATTTTATTCATATTTTAATTAATTATATTCGAACACAAATAATTATCATATGATAAATTATCATAACTATTTAAATATAAATGGATTATTATTCATAAAAGTCATGATTACACAAAAGGTCATAACTATCATAATAGAAGTTTATATTTGTTCATTTATTATAAATAAATCTTTCAGTATAATCATTTTCACTGCTTCTGATTGGAGGGTTTGGGGTTTTATTATATCCTAAAAGCATAATTACCTTTAAAAAAATATTTTTCACGTCTCAAAACCAAAATTTTTTTTTATTGTGCTTCTTCTCTTGTTTATTTTTTTTAACAATTTTAAAAGCAATTATGAGAAAGTTATATTTTGCATAAAGAAGATACAAAGAAAAAGAAATTGGTTATGTTGGGAGATCAATATTAGAGAAAGCTCAAGGTGTCAAAGAATTAATATTTCTATAGATCAAAATATTAATTTTTATAAAGATCTTCATTAGAGGTATGTATTTTATTATTTATATAATCACTTGTAAAAATATTAATTGAATGAGATAAACACATTAACAATTTATTTCATTAGTATGTAAATTCAAAACACAATATGCAAAATATTGATTACATTGTATAAGTTTATGCATAAACTAAAATTGACTCTACAATTGCTTTAATGAATTGTATTATATCTGTTTGAAAAATCAATACTTATAAAGACTAGGATGGGAAATAGCTTAAAAACATAAAAGAGAAAGACATGAATTAATTTGTGATCAAAAGAATTATCATTTGCTATAAAGTAACAAATTAAATTAGGTTCTAATAGAATGACCGATTATTTAATTGTCATGTTTTGGTTATATATAGAACAGGCAAATTGTCACATGGTTTCTATGAAAACAATAAAAAATAGATAAAGGTATTTACCATGAAAAATTAGATATAAGTGAATAATATATGTAAAAAATAAGATTTGACTGCAAGATTAGTTTTATCTTTAAATCATAACACCAAAATTGAGATAATAAGTTAAGTCAAGCTATTTTTATGGTTTTATTTTTGTTGGTCATTTATAAATCAAATGTTGATATTTTTTAAAAATTTATTATTGGTTTAAATTTTGACTTGTATTTAATTTTCATGAAAATTAATTAAAATTAAATTAATATATGTGAATAATTATTATTAAAATATGGTGTTTCATGAATTAATTGATGGATAATAAACCAAATAATTGTTATTATTAAAAACATAGGCAATGTGACATATATTTTACCTACTAGGTGTATTACATTGAAGTGATTTTACAAAATAAAATTTTATCCTAAATAATCACAAAGTTAAAATCATAAATAGTCATCAAAGAGTTAATCAATGATTACAAATAAGTATTATTGTTTTTCGTATATGGAATATTGATTAAAATGAAAAGGTATGTCATTAAAAAATATTGAAGCATTCGTCGGTCACTAAAATTTTAAAAGATTCTCATCAATGTCTAATTAGGTATGTTTATAAATTAGAAAAGAACATGCAAATTCAATGGCACCAATACATGCATGCATTTAATTCCATTTTTGTGATGGCATGGAGAACATTGGTGTAGTTTGTCATATATTACGAAAATGAACTGAATGAGATGAAATTTTTTTTCTTATATATATAACAAAGATATGGACTATGGAGATAGAATGTCATCATCTAATTAATACATTATTAGTTAAAGATAATGAAGATATTTTTGCTTCTTGTACCCGAAAAAATGACCTTTTGTTGACTGTTAAAATGAAAAGTGAACAAGTTCCCAAGGTTTTCAATAGTTTATGGCAATGGTAAGGATGTGGCTAGTTATATATCATATTAACATACGAGCTTAGATAATAATATTGGTTTATGAATGCCATAACCCTTATAGTTAGCCAATTGGTGATTTAACTAATGCAAATTCATCACGAATTTTTTCATGAAATATGAGTAAAACTGATATTATAATTATTGTTTATTCTATTTTATGAAAATGATTCTTTGGATTCATGTTTCATGACTTGCATTGATATGGTGATCTAGATATGAACATATTGATCACAAAATAATTGTGAAAGTATTTAAAATTGGAGTTAAATATAATATGAACTCTTATTTTACATAGGCATATTGGTCCTATGAGTAAAGTTTAAATTTATTATATATCTGAAAATGTTATGACCAATTAAAAGTGATAAAAAACATAGATATATAAATTGCACAATGGTAGAGAAATAAAATTCTCATAAAAAATTTTTGAAATCAAATTTAGAGGTTTCAATAGTCATGAACTTGGAATTGGCTACTAAGCAATTAATATATACATTGAAAACTCATGATAACATTTGAGATAATTGACTTTCACAAAAAGCCATCATTATAAATGAGATAACTTCAATAGCCAAATTTACATGATTTGTAGATATGATGTGAATTATTATGGTTGGCTTAAAATAGCCATAAGCCAAAATTGATGCTACAATCTTGATCACATTATGATAGTTTTTTGCTATATATATATGGTCTAATTCATGGATTGTACAAATGATTTATCATTTATGGTTTTATATAGTGAAAATTTCAAAGTATATTTACTTTGGAAGCCATGAGTGATTCAAAAATCTTAGAAATATGAAAACTTTTACAATAGCAAAAGAAATGCTATTTGATCCCTTTGGGTGATGAAAATGGTTTTGTTCATGGTAATAAAAAATTATTAATAGTGTCTATGATGAAATAGATTCTTATAAGTATTTATGAATTGATATAAAAGTCTTAAAAGTAGGCTATAGAAACATGATTATATTTGAAATCTACTTATTGATATAAACTCTTATATTGAATTAAAATATAAAAGTTTTGAAACTTTTATAGAAATATTAAGATATTTGCTAGTTATCTTTCATAAACGGTGGATTTGGAAGCCTCCTACTTAAAAAAAAAAAACATAAAATAGTGAAAAGATAACTAAAATGGCAACTTGGTTAAGTATATATAATATCTAGAATAATTTAATGAGACATTATTTAATAAAAGATGCATAGTTGCACATGGTGGGGGTGATAAGAATCAAAATAAATAAAAATTATCACCATAATGTTGTAAGATTTTAGTATAATTTTATGAACAAATTATACAGACTAATAAGTTTAGACACTTATTAAACTAAAATCATAAAAAAGGTCTTTAAAAATCTTAAAAAGACTAAAATTGTTTGGTTTATTCATTGAGTTTATCCAATTATACGAGAAGTATAATTGTATTAAAAATATATAAAAATATGAAAATAGAATGGTTGAAATTAATGAATATATAGTTGTGGCCACAACCAAAACCAACTATTTCTTAAAATGATAAGAATGAGGCAATAATGTCTAGAACATTTAAATGATATGTAAAATAAAAAGTTTGAACATATTAGCATGAAGTTATTATATTAGAGATTCAATTTCAAATAGGAGTAATTATCATAAAAAAAAATTGAATTTCAAGATATTTGATTAGTAGTTAGGGCTGTAAACGAGCCGAGCCGAGCCGAATAGTGAGAAGCTCGAGCTCGAACTCGACTCACAATTCGGGGCTTGATACTCGGCTCGAGCTCGATCGAGTTTTATTTTTCAAGCTTAAGCTCGATTCGTGATCGAATTCGAGCTACTCGAACTCGCTCGATTAAGCTCGATTAATATGTAAAAATAAGCTCGATTCGTATACTCGACAAGAGTTCGATTATTCATGCTCGAATTCGAACTCGGACTCGAAATATTTTATTAATTAAAATAATAAAAATATATTTAAATATAAAAGCTCGATTAGGCTCGCGAGCTACTCGAGTCAGATATAAGAATACTCGAATTCGGCTCGATCGATAAGTCGAGCTACTCGAGCTCGAGCTCGACTCGACAATAATCAAACCGAATTCGAGTTTTTTTCGAATCGAACCCGAATAACTTGCGAGTACTAATGTATCATTTACGCCCATATTAGTATTACTACAAGTAGAATGGATTTAAGCCTTTCTTATTAGGCACCAATAATGGAAACCCAATTTTAAATTAGTAACATCTAATTATAAAGTTTAATGAGTAAAAATAAATTATTGTTATGTGTTTATTAAACACTAGTAAAATCCATTCAAATTTTAGAAATTAATGTGATCCATTGCGTGGGGAGGATGAGTTTTATACTCTTAATGGAGTTTTAAATGTCTAAAGCAACAGAAATATAATGGAAACTCTACCTATATAGACATAGAAGTAGTGCCACTTCAATAAGAAAAATTAGGGTCTCTCTTATAAATATTTATGAATAAGATAAGCATATTGTCATAATAGTGCTAAAAGCGATTATAAACATCTGATAGAAGAATAAATAAGTATTATGTGTGTTATATATTCAATTCTAACATTAGGAGTTGAGGTTTAATCTATAGACACCATCAATTTCGTTAGAATTTTAAGATATATACGCTAATTGAAAGTTTAAATCGAGATATATATTTTTATATTCATAATATTTATTTGTGTGAAATGTAAAAATTAAACACTAGGATTCTAAACTAGTGGGGGATTGTTGGTAGTTTAGAAAGTGGTACATCCTAGATTGGATAAAAAGATTTAATTATTGATGAATAAAACTAATTTTTGTATTAATTTTATTCATATTTTAAATAATTATGTTTGAATACAAATAATTATCATATGACAAATAATCATAACTATTTAAATATAAATAAATTATTATTCATAAAGGTTATGATTATATAAAAGATCATAACTATCTAAATAGAAATTTATGTCTGTTCATTTATTATAAATAAATCTTTTAGTATAACTATTTTTACTACTTTCGATTGAAGAGATTGATGTTTTATTTTATCCTAAAGATATAATTATCTTTAAAAAAATGTTCTTCGTATCCGAAAGTCCAAATTCTTTTTTATTATTTTTTCTCTTATTTATTTTTTCTATCAGTTATTGCGAAGGGCAAGTAAAATTTTAGATTCAAAGGATCCTTTTGCTTCACAACTTCAATCAGGTAATTAAGAATGCATGGGAACTTCCGAGTTAAGGGAAGTTTATATCAGATGTTAGAATCAAAATTCTGTCAAATACTCTGAATCCATTTCAACTGTTAGAAAGTAGCAATTCTTGAACAGACAATTTTGGAGTGTACATAGCTGAATAATTAAAATGATGTTACCATGATTTAAACCAGGACAAGTAGACTTTCGAAATTATTGCAGGCTCAAAGTCTTCTTCGGATATTGATTGATGGGACTTCAAAAATTTTCATACATATATATATATATATATATATGTACATAATGAAGTATCACGGTGACAGAACATAATCATCTTGAGTTGATCAAATCATCAGCCAAATGTTAGTAAAACAAGCACAATGGAATTAATTATTAAACTCAATTTATTTTGCAGTTAGGACTTAGGACCACTTAAATAATGAGTTTACTTTTCTATTCATGTAAAATATCATTCCAAACCAACCACCCAATCGGAGCCAAGATTAGTAGTAATTGCATTCAGGAATGAATAATTAAGTATAATCTTACCGAAAAATGGCTGCAATCACAAAAGTGACCGAGGGAACGGCGTTCATAACTGCAGATGTAAATGATGCTGATGTAAATTTCATTCCCAAGTAAGTGAAGCCTTGATCAAGGATTGGCCTGCCAACAAAATTTTTGTAGCTAGGATGACATACCATAGTGATTTATGACGTTAACTTTGAAACTAGATGCTTTTTTTTTATTAATATGTTAAGCAAAAACAGAAGTAAACCCAGTTTTTGATTAGGTTTGACTGAAGCAGGGAAATTGTTTTATGATTGGAATTTTCCATGAAGTTAAAATGTGGTTACTATTAGATCAACTAATGGAATAATTTCTTTGACAAAAGAAAAGGTACAATTTTTTTCTTACTTATTTTGCTTAAAAACAAATGCATGTATGTATGTTTGTAAATTGATGAAGTATTTGGTGAGAAACATTACTCTAGAAATCCCAATGTCATTATTTGTAAGAAGATTGGCAAAGTCATCTTTGGCCTTGTTTTCCTGTAGTAAGGATGAAGAAAAAAAAAAAAAAGATGGAAAAAAAAAAAAGAATTAGGCATATAGAGATTAGTGATATATTCCGTCAACAAGTAGTTGACAACTGCTAATATTATGGTGCATGCATCACAACTATACATGAATGTGTGTAACATGTGAGACTTTCTCTTGAGATTTAAGACAGACCTCTCAAGCAGCAGTGCAAAAGGTGCAAGTACAAGTGCAGCAATAGCATTACGGTACACAATGAGCACGTAACGATTCATGCCTTGGTTGAGAGTTACCATGCTGATTATATACATCCCTGCTGCACCAAATTGCAAGCATACCATGAAGAAATAAGGCCTTGCCTTATTGAAATTTGCGCTTAGGGTTCCAGTTAAAGTTTGGTCTCTCATCTTGCTCTAACTTAGAAAAAGAAGCTTTACCTGAATTGTTGAGTAAGAATTGATCAAACTGCGCTCATATATATAACCCATGTAAAGTACTTAATCATCTTAGAATCTCCAGGGACCCTGATCCACTTATCTTCAGACGCTGATGCTTGCTTTTACCATCAACATCCATTTCATATCATTCAAAGAGGAAGACAAAGTGCTGGTATAGTTTATTCTTTTTCATTTTTAAAGATGGGAGTGGAAGACACAAAATACTGGTATGGCTAAGTCTATTGTCCTATGGTGATCGCTGAAATATAAAATAAGTCTCTAAGGGAATAGCAGGCATATTGCGTGTGGGACATGAAAACTGTTAAGCTGAGAGACAAAAGGTTACAAAAAAGAATTACTAACTCTATAGTGTCATTAAGATATACTGATGGTCTTTCAACATGTGCTATATGCAAAATGCATTGTGTGCTCTGCCTATCCCATGTTCTTGTAGATTCCATATCTATAATTCAATTAAGCCAGGTTAGGACTTCTGCTAACCAAGTCTATAATTCTTTGGCACTTATCTGTTTCAAGGAAATAATATAACAATCACTACTATTGAAGAAAAATACAAGAGAAATAGTAGCAATAATCCACCATATGCAACAACTTGAATGTCTGGTAATGGAAATGCTTTGATTTGAGTCAAAGTTATAACAAGATTCCAAATGCTAATTAAGGTGGACTTTGACTAAGTTTTTGGCATGTTCTATGCTGTTTTATCAGCTAAACTGTAATTTGTTTCTTACTCTGACAATTACATATAATTCAAGATTATCTGATATAGTGGCCTGGTATCCACAATAGCCAAACAAATCTATTTGGCATTTAATATAAAGAGAGACATCAGATACATATGAAACAATGCAATCTGAATCTGATTATAATAATAAGCACTCACTCCATCTCTCATAACAGGAAAACTTCCATGATTACAATGCGTAAGCAAAAGAACAGAAACGATCATAGAAATACATTCTCTCTCCCTTCCTTTTGAATGTTACAATAAACTATACATGGAGAATATAATTGATAAAAGTGCATGATGAGATCAGGCCATAGAAACTAAGTGCTTCTAGGTTTGTTGTCCATAGTGGAATTCAGGGCTGTTCTAATCCTATTAGACAATTTTCACGCCAGTCCATGAAAGCTCATCTAAAGCAAAACATTTTCATTTCACAAATTTTATTAAGTAGGTTGCTGACTTGACATCATTATCATTTCAAAAAGCTTCATTCATTCTTTTTTTTTTTTTCCACAAACAAAAAGAGAGGGAAAAAAAAAAAGGTTGGTGCAATTCTGTGGATTTATATTTATAAGGCCTGCCCTGACATCTGGAAGTGCCACATAAAAAAAAATAGAAACAATGGCTAGCTCTGAATAATTCCATTTATTGTTGCTTCTCATTCAGCATGCATGATGTGGACATGAAAGCAAATCCTTTGCCTCAAAACCACAATCACATCAATATCTCAATAATAAACTCTGAGACTTGATGGGCATGACCAGGAGGAAGTATTTGCTCCTACAAGCAAAATGAATAAGACTTGTATGTTTACTGATCAACTGTGTCAAATGTTTTTGGTCAATTTGTTATTGTATCACAAATATTCAGTCAGGATTGAAACAAAAACCAAAGGACAGGATTTTGGAAGTGCAAATAAGATGGCAGAGGCAATCAATCAAATGGTTGTACAAAGTTCCTCTTAATTGTAGGATTTTAGTCCTTTTCCTTTTTTTTTTTTCCCTTGTTTTGAAGTTGATACAATCCACCATTTCGAGTAAAGACTACGAGTCATAAAAGAAAAGAGATTGAAAAGAAAGAAACAAAGATGATGCAGGTTTTGACAACCCTTTATGGCTTTTATTCCATATACTTATCCTTAGTATAAAGCTTGTCTTGCGGAGCTCTTTGTCATGTCTAGTATTGTCTTAAGTTTGAAAGTACGAACCAATCTTGCGTTCATTCCGCAGATTGTCTGTACGAAAAAAAAATGACAATTCAGAATTTTTTTCCAAGGTTTGTACCAATCTCAAACTATCAATTTCATTTGCTAGAGCTACAGGAAAGCAAGCTGTGCTCCATCCGTATAAGTTCACTTCTGTTAAGAACAATTCAGTGATGACAATTTTGTGTAGTCATGACAGAAGAACACTGCAGTTAAAGCATTAAAGGGGTCTGATTCAACATAGGGCAGCCACTTATTGTCCAAATCAGCTCAATTTCTCTGCTTTAAGATGCCAAAGCTGCAAGGCACTTGAGAAAAATCAGCCTAAGTCCATGTTCAACTAATTGAGTATTGGAGACCGAACTTGCAGACCTGAAAAATAAGACGTTAAATCAGGGAAAAAGGGTCAGAAAGACAGAAAGGCTACATTCCTTTGCTTTAATGCTCTTTCAGTCTTTGCATGAGATTTTCTTGCTTCCTTTCACTACTTTTATCTCATCATTTCTTGAAACATTATCTCCTTTCAGTAATTGACTTCACATTTTGATAACTAGTACCTTTTTCCTTGCTCAAAGCCTGTGATCTAGGGTAGAAAGTTTAAGACAGTGTACAAGTTGAGATACCCAATGAATCAAATTTTGGAGGCTTTCGGCTTCCAGGATCCTCAAGGATCTTTTGAGATAACTAGTGGGATTCTCCTGACAAACCAATGCAATCCTTTAATTGTTCCTGCAACTTCTTGTTGATAAGAAACAACATATAAACATGCATATCCACTCCCCAGGCAATATGTTTGGTAATACAGATCATTCATAAGAAAAGCACTCTCAAAGGAGTTGGAAAAATGTCATTTCAAGTTTGTGGAGTCATGGTTAAACAAGCCACAAGCAATTCTATCAACTTTCTAGGCTGTTACCCATCAGAATAAAATTTCAAAATCAATTGGTGAACCACAGAACCTGGACATTCTCAGTGGAAAACTACACCAGCAAATCCCAAATCATCAATTCCTTTGCAATTGCAGTAAGATATAACAAAATGAAATTATTCCTCAGTTTCAAAAAGATGGCAAATTGCTTTTTGGCAAGAAAAGATGCCAAATCAGATTTCCCAAAATGGTAGAATCGGATAAGGCCAGATATGGAATCACCAATATTCATGAGACTTTAAAGTTGCATACCAAAGGAAAAAAGTACACGAAAAAGTTGGTTGCACTAGAAAGTTTGTAGTGCATGATTAAAGGGATGAACTTAACACCTTGGAAAATGATTGGTCTTTGATATATATATATATATATATATATATATATATATATATGAATATGATAGCTAAATAATTGTTTTCACGAAAGTTTAAATCCCCATATGATTTTCTTATAATTAAATCAAATAAATCATTTTAAAAAATAAAATAAATCTTAAATAATAGAGGATATAAATGACCTTGATGATATACTAATCAGAGAATGCATAGTGCAAAAGGAATGATATTAATTATATTTACAATTTTTCCACTTAAAATTTGTGCAAATTATTGAATGCAAAATTGAAATCCACCCACAATTTAGTAGTTAATAAAACATAATGGTGGGATGGGATGACCCACGGACTTCTACAATTACTTAAAGAATATAGAAACTGATATAAAGCAGAGGAGAGTTCTGTCCTGTCAGTAGAAAGCACAAGGAAATTCATAGTGGGAAAAACTTTATCTGTTGGTTTCTTTAGAATGATTGAAGTAAGAGATCATGGGTGGGTGTCCAAGAACGAGTTGCTTTCCCTCGGCAATGGGAGAGAAGATACCGAGAGGACGCATTCACGACACGTTACTAAACCTTACAGTTGATCATATTCTGTTGCAAGTTATGATGAGAATATGAAGATGAAAATGAAGAGCATTCAACTTGGCAAAGATGATGAAAATGAAGATCATTCAACTTGGCAAAGAAGATCAACTCTCAATTAGGAGCTACTTAACAACATAAGTTGTAAAATGATGATGATAGGTCATGACCATCCAATTTATTGAACCCAATGCTACCTGCGAAGAAGCTTTGAGCCCCAATCAAAATATATGGTCAAGTTACATATGATAGAACCTTTCAACTTGGAAGGTCCGATTGATGCAAAGGATGCATAGTGCGGCACTGGAATCAGCCAAAGTTCTCAATCCAGTCACTTGCAAGAATGGTAACCTACTTTGGAGTAATATTAAATTTCTTTTAGCCAAATGATAAAAAGAAATAATGGCAAAAGAAAAGGAAAAGAAGAGAAATCAACCAATTGGTTCAATAACTCTGTATCATTTTACGTTAAAGTCATACATAATGACAGTAAAAGTCATACATAATGACAGTAAAAGTCCTTTAACCACCTGCGACAGATGCAGGTGGCTAGAACTCTTCATCTATTGTACAATCTTTTTCATTTTCTTTTCCCTTTGGTGCTTGAAATTGGCACCTACAGGTACCCACTAGACCAGGGTATTGTTAACATGATATATGAAAAAGATGAAATGAGGATAAAGTCAATCGTGCACCATATAAAGGCAGAAGTTTAATAGCAATCAAAGCACGGACAGCTTGGGGCCATTGAAACAATGGATTAGTCAAAAGTTGTAAAAAATGGAATGAATATGACATTAAAGAACCATGATTGATGCAAGTTTTCATTTTATCACTTTCCAGGCCTTAAAGTGGCCTGCTTTTGTTTGCATGGAATTAATAATATAGAAGAAATGAAATGAAATTTTGTTTATCAGAGGAAATCACAGTGTCAGTGATGATGACAAGATTTTTGATGGACCTAGTCAACTTAGTTAATGACAATCTAAATCAAAATCCTTTTCCCTACTTGTTCTACATGAGCTTCAATATCCATCATATAACCAAAAATTACAGACTATTACTGTCTAAAAGCAGCTGCTATCTTCTTTTGGACAAGCTCCGGCCCAAGTCGAGGAGATAATCTAGGCAGTATTTCCTGAAAGAAGGTTGATATTGTGTGAGATATCTTCTTCAGCATTGATCCATATAAATTGCACATTTTAATCCAAAATTGTAAAGACTACTGCAAGGGTAACTAGAAAAGGATAATTTAGTTTAAATATCCTATATATATATATATATATATCTGTCCGTAGTAATGTTTTTATATTATATCACTTAAAGTATCTTCAAATGTTGTGATATAACTCAATTATCTGTCTATATAACAAATATCTTGGGAATCTCAATATGTTATGCTGATATATAAAACCTTGTTTTTTAGTACGGCCTCAACACACTTCTGCATTACCAGCCACTACATTTATACATCCTAATTAATTTTGCATAAAGTGCATCATCATTGAATGGTCAATAAGATTCCACCAGCTACTAAAAGGCAACAATATAATCAGAAACTTTGGACTGAACTATAGCCATGAAAAGGGCAGGATATCTGATGAAAAAGATGATAAGCATTGAAAAGTCATGATGCAAAAGGGAATCTGCATCACCATGAACCTGTGCACAGGATGAACATGATTGGAAGTTGTGATGCTTTGTTAATGCAGAAGGGAATCTGCATCACTCGGAATCTGCACCATCCATGTGTGAAGAGGAGTTATTCCACTATTATACTAAATTTATATAGATTATATTTGGCAAAAAGACACCAGAATGCAAAACGAAGGGTCTTGCCCACCATGAAAACAGTAGCAGTGGAAAGAAATCCACCAAATAGAAGAGGAAAGAAACAAATGTATTTAAACTTTTTCACTACAGATAACCTCATTTCAGATTCTATATCATACTCCCTTTGTCCATAAATGATGTCCATTTGACTTTTAAGTGTCAAACTTTTTCACTTCAACTTCATTTTATTTTATATATATTGTTAATTAAAATATGAGAAAATAATTTTAAAACCTTGAATGAGGAAGTTTTCAAATATAAGTTTATAAAAAAAATTAATTTAATAAAATATTTAAAATATCAATGATCAAAGAGGTTTTCAAATAGTATGTTTCATTAATTCCTTTGTACTAATGATAGAGATTACTCTCCACCTAAGATAAAACTATAGTAAGTCTGCCTAAACCTTATTTACTAGTTTTACAGACCTCACCCTAGCAATCATACAATGTCACCTCTTAAAAACACTGTTTCAAGAACAAGTGGTTGCTCTTTTCAACCTGACAATGGGCAACTAATGCCTTCTACATACCGAACGAAGCTAAAATGGTGTTCATCTCTTATTCATAAATGAACTGCTTACCTTGAAATGACCTGGCCCAACAGAAATTCCAAATTCGTTGGGCCCTTTATTAAAATCAACCAGAAAAGCCAATATTCTAGAAGCTTAAACCGTGTGAGGAAATCCTCTTCAATTTCCTCAAACTTCAATTCATATATATAACAGAGAAATCCTTTACATATGATAGAACAAGATCCATTTTACAAAATACAAAGGATTCCTTGGTTTAGCTCTAAGAGCAATATCACTCAACTATAGTGTAACTTTGCCACCAAACTCGTATCGAATATTCAATTTTAGCCACTTTACTCCAATTAGGTTCAATCAACTAACTTAAACTTTATTTACTGGAATACATAGCAAATGAATTATTTATATAAGAAAAAGGAGATTGTATTTTAAGAAACATTTTTATATAGTTATATAAATACATTTTCCATCCTGTAACTTTATTGCACTATACTTCTATACTGCTATTGGGCCAGTACAAGTGTTTTATGCAACAAAAAATTGAAAGATGGGAATTACTGGCTAATTGCATACAAACAATGTATCCAAATAAAATGCACAATCAGAAAACCATAGCTGCATAACAATTTATGTTATAGTTACATATAATTGTTGCTAAGATTTAAATTCAGAAAGGTTTTTCAATTAAGAAGATAAATACATATATCCAATTATAGCCCTTCTGTATATAAAATACATATCCTTTTTCATAATTTCCATAGTTTAAGGGGTAAAGGTATGTATTTTAATTAGGGTCATATTCAATGTTTTGATCCTACCATATACACCTGCTCATCATTTTAAAAATCCATTTTATCTACAGAAACTTATGGCATCTTTCTATTATGTCATAAACAACAAGCTTCTCAAAATGACTTCTAACAACTTGGACATAATCCAGATCATAAGCAAGAATCATTTTGAATTTTCAATTTAAATGTGTAAACAATCACAAGGATCTAGATTCTGGATGCATGCAATACCCAAGACATCTCTTGAAGCAACTAGGCCATGTTGCTGAATTTAGGTAATTCAGGGATCTAATGAATGAACCTTACACTCTTGCTTTAGCCACTTGCACTAATATTTTCTTTGTAGCTTTTTGCTTCACAGTTTCAAAAGCTGCACGTAGGAAAAAGATCTCAAAATAACAGACAGCAGACTTCTACAAGATGAGATCACCTCCTTTGCCAAAGGAGTCTCCATAGGGATATGTCACCACGCAAACCACGATAGGAAACTAAGCCACTGGGGTTGCAAATAAGTCCCAAAAATGTTCAGCACTTCTTATATTTTTTGGATAATTGAGCTCAAAGCACTTCAGTTTCATGTAATACAGGATAATACTAAGAAATATAACCAGACATAGACAAATAAAATAGGGCTGAGCTTATGCATGGTTATGGTGATCTTGCAATAATAAAGGATTCTACTCACTACCAGTGGTGCTAAACACTTCCTTTGGCTGCTGTTTACCTGAATCCACTTTAAATTTTGATGGCATGTAGGTCAATGAAGACTTAAGTCAGTGTTGCAAGGATATCCAACACTCAAGCAAGAACTGGAAACTTTGTGAGTGAGTTATTTTTACACACAATCACCTCATCAGGCTTAATTAGCTAATTATCAACTGCAAGACAGCCTTAGCTGTTGAACCAGTATTCCAGATTATATATAAATAACCCTTGCAACAGTTTTAGAACCTTATAATTCCCTGTGGTGCAACAACGGTTGTTCAATAGAACTCTTACCAACAGAGGATATTCTTTCCAGTACATCATGTATGACGTAAATGAGACTTTGTGGTGCTAAGATAATGGTGGAGTCCTACAGTTATTAATGCATTAAGTTTGATAATCAATTGAATGTCTTGAAATATAGAACCAGCATATTCTTTTACCATAACTTTTACCAAACATATTGTAGATTATTCACAAAGTTAAAGAGCTGATTATGCAAGAACCTACGTATACCTTAGTAGTATTGCAGGCAGTAGTTTTCCCAACATGGATCCTAGGTGTACTATGTGTTGTAAAATCCCATGGAAAATGTTGAAAATTGTAATAATTAAGCTGCTAGTCCTACAATAAAGAATATGTGGCTTTGCAGTTCAACAATTAAGAATGGAACGGAATGACTATCACTTCTCCATATTAATACAACTGCGGAGCACATCTTGAACAACAAGATGCCAACTTAAGAGGTAAAATTCTATTGCAAGTTCATAATCAAAATCAAGCTACTGTTAAAGCAACAATAATGAGAAAAGGTAACCAAAAAATAAAGACAAGAATAAAATTTTCACAAAGTTGTTTTATATTGGTCTAAGATTTGACAGTCTCATCCACAATATTCATCAAGGACAAAGCTTCCATAGCTAGACTAGCGAAATAGTCTACACTAAATCAGCATTTTTGTAATGTACTTTCCTTTTAAGAACCTATGCTTGTAATAGTTTAGTTCTAAATAAAGCATTTGGGAATATGCATCTAACTTCTATAAGGCCTAGTCATTAAAGTATTCCCCAGTTGTTTAAACCACCTTATTTAAAAGAGACCCAGACCAGGTCTCCCATTGTCACAGAAGCTTGCTTCTGCAAGTACTCAGCAAGTTTCAACATCTCGTTTATCCAAAATTTCTTGCTCATTTTCAGTGACCTCCATTCCAAATGAGTTTGCTTTGACACACTTCAGCAGAAAAGAATCAACTTTGCAAGGTTATAGTGTGAAACAATCCATTTTAAATTCTTTATCTAGGATTCTCACATTCATAAATAAAAACATCAATAATACAAGTTTCCAGGCACCATAGTAGCGTTTTTATTAAAAAAATTGACAAAACCAAGAAAAACCCAAATAGAGAAAAAGCTAACCTCAGTGCCATCAGAGAGTACTTTGGCTAAAACGGGTATCTCATATTGGTATGCCTTCTCCCACTCAGGATTGCTGGTAATATCCCTCACCTAGCAAAAGAACCCAACAACCAAAATTTTCCAAGCTTCAATCTTGACTTGTGTAAAGATTGAGAATGGGAGGTGGGGGTTTTACCTGTAAAACGATGTCATGTAGGGAATCTGGGCCAGACAGTGAGAAGGCGGCGTGGAGTTTTTCTTTGAGGCCATCGCATAGACAGCAACCAGGCTTTGAGTAGAGAACCAGCTTTCTTGCTTCGGATGCTGAAGAAGAAAATGACAAAGGAGTGAAAACCCGTCTGAGTTTATGCCTGGGGATGTGAGCTATGGATAAGGATCTTGCTGCCATAGTTGTAGTTGTTGCCAATGTTCCAATTCCTTTAGATAGCATTTTGCAAAGCTCACCAGCCACAACCAGTCCAGCAGTCACCAGGGTTTTATAGCTTTTGTTTGTCCGTTTGGATTGGGGCTAAAAGTTTTAATACTGTTACAAATTTTCTTTTGTTTTGTTTTCCTTAATTTCGAGCGGTAGTTTTTTTTTTTTTTTAGAATTTAAAAAAAAATGTGGTTTAACAAAAATATTTAGTAATTTATGTCTTGATCAGAAATAATTAATAAAAATAACAATATATATCATTATTAAAGCAGAAATAAAAAATATTTTTATATTTTTAATATTTAATGAATATTAACTCAAAATTATAGGCAATTATCATATATATACAAACAAAATATGCATGCATTTAATCGAACAATTTATAAGATAAATTTTGTAAATATATGGAGCATAAGATTTTTCATTGGAAATGTCACATGGTAGCTTCATAATTTACCCTTTTTTTGTTTTATAAATTTTTTTTTAATTTAAACAAAAAAAAATGAGAGAGAAGTAAGCAAAATGTTTATGATATAAGCAATTAATAAATATCACGTTTTAACATAAATATATATATAGTTGAAAAGCTAATATAAGTCATAATTTTTGTTTTTAATACGTAATTTTTTAATATAATTCAAAAATTACATTTTTCATATAAAAGTGTAATCTTTATAAAATCAAAATTAACTTTCACCAATATGTATTTGTCAAAGCCTCATTTTTAACGTGATATTGCTTTCATGAATTTTGAGAGTAAAAAGATAAGATGTATTGCTTCCATGAGTTTTCATGACCTCTCATCCATAAATATTTTTTTTTTTAAAAAATTTTTAAGAAAGTAAAAAGAAAAAATTTGGTGAGATTTTGATACACAAATATTATGTTTCTTACAAAAAATATATATAATTTTTATAGTTTTTATTGTAAAAAAAAGCTCTTAATAAAATAAGATGAGAAGATTTTGTGAGATTTTGGAGTACAAAGACTACTTTTCTTACATAAGAAATGTAGTCTTTTGTAGTTTTTTATTATAAAAAATTTTTTAAAAAAGTAAAAAGAGAAGAATTTGTTACATTTTGGTACAAAAACACTACATTTCTTATATAAGAAATGAAGTTTTTGTAGTTTTTTGTTGTAAAAAAAATTCTTAAAAAAGTAAAGAGAAGATTTGGTTAGATTCATTGATTTATCTTTTCGATTATAACTTTTGCTTTAATGCACAAATATTACATCTTTTACATAAGAAAAGTAATATTTGTCGTTTTTTTGTTGTGAAAAGAAAAGAGTCTTTAGAAAAGTAAAATGAAAAGATTTTGTGAGATTTTGGCACATAAAAACTGTCTTTTTTATGTAAGATAGATAATTTTTGTAGTTTTTATTGTAAAAAAAAGTTTTGGAAGAGTAAATGAGAAAATTTGATGAGATTAAATGAATAAACGTAATAAATGATCACAAAATTATGTTTTTGAATTTAAAAAAAAAAATTTAGAAAGTACTATGTTTTTATATTTAAAACACAGTAAATCAATTAAAATAAAGTAAAATAAATTAGATATTTTTATTCCAATAACGTTTCTTATGTATATCATAACGTATAGATCCATTAACCTGTCGTTAGATTTAATTTAAAGAGTTACCATCAATTTTTATTTAAGTATAATTGATCACTTAATTGAATCTGTCTATTTTTAAAGAGAAATCTCAAACTTGATTTAGTTATTTTTAAAAAGTAGATTTTAGTCTATGAAACTAAATTTATGTTCAGGAGTACAATTACATATGAAAAAGATTAAACATTCTCACAGCGCTCACAAAAAAGATGATATCAGTTTGATTTCAAGTTATTTAAGTCTTAATATATTTTTATAATTTTTATCAAATAATTTAATTATTAAAAATTAATCTTAAAATTACTCTAATAGTTTAGTAATAATTTAAAATAATTTTTTCACTTTAAGAGTATTCACAAAGACTAGTGTTTCATTTTGAAGAGGTTTCATCGTCGGATTAATTAACATGTTTTATTTAAAAAGTAAACAGTAAAATCATCTAATAGTTTTGGTGAAATTTTATTTGAAAAGTCACTCATATAATTTATTTTAAGAAAATTGATTAAAATTTTTAGTAGTTTTATAAGATCTAATTCAAGATTTATATTCTCTAATGTTTGACAGAATTAAAAATTTTTATTTAAAAAAATTCATTAAATCCTTTAATAATTTAGTAAGAGTGAATTTAAATATTTGAATCCTCTAATAACTTAGTACATTATTGTTTTTTTAAAAGGAATTTAATTAGGAACTATCAAGAAAATCATGTTCATATCATCTTTTAATTCCATCATAGTAAAGTTTTATTTACTATTAAAGTTTAAATAAATTACATGACTTTAATAATATTTTAATTAAAGAAAATCCCATTGACAAATCTATTTTATTGAGTCATATTTTGATTTTTTTTTAATTGCTAGACAAGTAGCCTAAGATGCATAAATAATGAAAGTGAGTAACTAAGTAAATAAACGATGAAAGATAAACAATGAAAAACTAAATAAGAAAAAGAAAGGAAAACCTGAGTTACGATCCCTAATAAGAAACGGATCAAGTCTAGAAGAGTAGGCTTGGCTTTTTTACCTCAGGTTTGTGGGGCTTAAATCTTCTTAATTCAGACCAAAATTATTTTTTTACTTGGACCAAGTCTTTCAATCTGAAATATCTCATTTTATAAAATCCCACCTTTCTGTAACCAGCCACTCTCCTTAAGCCGCTCTTCCCTGGAAACCAACCCCCAATTTCCTCACCAACAACACCCTTTCGTCAACAACAAATTCCAAGCTTCAACGACGGATTGTCGCGACCAGAGCCACTAAGAAGCTCCACCTATTCTTACTTGTTTAGCTATTGTCTAACTCAAAGCCACCTAAAATTGTTTCTTCCCTTACAAATTGAGAAACTTAAATAAAACTCTAAAAGGAACTCCCAAAACTCCTAACTAGCGATACCCAAAATCACTTCATTTCTCTATATTTTGTTGCTCTCACCGATTATTTTTGGGTATTCCCTTTCTGTATGATTTATGTATTCCTCCCTTTTTATGTGTGCTTGCTGTTCGTTTTATAGGGATTTAATCCCTTTAATTTGAAAAAAATCAACTGAATGAATATAAATATGATTTGATTCGATTTGATTTTGCTTTGAATTAATTTTGTGATTTATTTTGCATGAATTAAGCCCAAACTTTCCATAATCTGTTTGATCATGAGCTCCAAGAATAGAATCCAAATCCCGGTGGAAAATCCCACCTTTTTGTTTTTGGGTTTTTTATTTTTTATTTTTGATATTTGTTTTAGCCTTTGAATTGGAAAAGTAAAATTAAAATTTTTGGACTTTTAATTGTTTGGGCTCAAAATGCATTTGTCGTATTACGGCTTAATTTGTGATCAAAGCTCATTTATTTCGAAAAAATTTTTAGACAAAATAAAATATTTATAGTCATCGCTCTTTACACAATTTTTATAAAACAAAAATTGTAAAAGGTTATAAATACCTATTACATCCGACTTAAATTAGTTAACTTTTTTTTTAAAAGGCTTTTCGGAAATGAAGACAATTTCTTAAAAAATTAAGGATGACATTCTATGGTTTTAATAATCATATCTAGAGATCTTATAAATCGTATCCGAAGAATGTAAAGATTAAGTCTAAAAATTTTACAAATCATTCAATGAAGAATGCTCTTTTAAACAAAGATTTTATAACTTTTAAAAATATATATCTAAAGGTTTTAAAAGATCATGTTTAGAAATTTTATAGATTATGCTTAGAAAACTTGAAGATTATACTTGAAGGTTTTACAAATATCCACTCTAAAATAGATTTAGTTTAAAAGACTTACGAATCTTACCAAAAAAATTTGGAGATCACCCCTAGATGTCTTACAAATTTTGACTCTAAAATTAATTTAGATAGGAAGACTTACAAATTTTACTTGGAGGACTTGAAGATTATGTTTGAAAGTCTTATAAATCTCAACTCTAAAACATATTCAGCTCAAAACTTACGAATATTACCCAAAAGACTTAGATTATGCCCAAAGGTCTTACAAATTTCTGACTCTAAAATAGATTTAGCTCAAAAGACTTACGAATCTTATCCAGAAGACTTGGTAATTATGCCTGAAGGTTTTATAAATCAAACTTCGAAAAAGCTTTTTTAAAACAAATGTTCAACCACTTTAAAAAAATAGATATTTGGATATTTTAAAAATCATACTCGAAAGTCTTATAGATTTTATTGGATAATTTAAAAAGAGCTCAATAGTTTTAAAAATGCACTCATAGGTTTTTTAAACTAATACTTAAAATTTTTAACAAATATACCTTGAGGTAAAATCTTGTTCGATCAAAGTTTTTTTTTTTATAAAAAATTTAAGTCAACATCTCTTTCCCTTAAAAAATATGAATGCAATATATGAAATGGATGTGATGCATACAATAAATGAAATGCAATAAATGCAATGCATGAATTCTATACCAAATGTCTTTAATTGTGGTAATGGGATTCTCGAAACTTTTCTTCATTTCATCTTTCCATGACATAGCCTCTAATTTAGTTGACAAGTTCATTCACGTACTAAAGCAAACATTATCAACATTTTCATTCTTGAAAACCATTTTTCTCGTCTAGTGAGTTTTTTCAATATTGGTCCTTTACATTTGGCATTTTCTTGCCCCAAAAAGGTCTCTTATAGCATTCACCTATCTCTCGCCACGAGTATTAAGATTCAATATATTTTGAATATTTCTCAAAACTTCCTAAAAAAATAGCAATGGAAATTGCCTCACATAATTCTCTTCCATATGTGATCAATCTCTTAAAAAGTAGTGATTACTACCTAGAATAGGGATGATGAATAACAACTTTGGTCTTTCCAAAACGATGCAATAGTTTGGCACATCAAAAAGGATTTTAGTCCCCAAAGGAATTTGGCCATTAAATGAAAACAAGAACATCTTTTCATTTGAGATCACAAATGAAAATCATCTTTTAAAGTGCAATATATTTTGGTACTTCTTTTAATTCTT